CAGAGAGAAAATGGAGGACCTTCGGATTTTCATCCAAGGGCTTAGCCCTGCCATGATGACACTTATCCTTTCAGTCGAGAGTCTGACTCCTGGCAATTCTCTGGGCCAGGTGGTCTCTCCCCCTCTTCCGATCTTGCACGGCTTCTTTGAGTCGACCTGTGCCCTGTCCGGGGTCAGCTTTGACAGTGTCCAGCCACACCGTCTTCTTTGGTGGCCTGGCGTCCTTTTGCCTCTGACTCTTCCAAACATAATCGCTTTCTCCAGGGAATTCCTCCCCATGATGGGGCCAGAGGAAGTGAGAATCCAGTTTTAGGACTTTGCCTTCCAGTGACTGGCCTGGTGTTATGCCCTAAACCCAAGTCTGGGAACGCCTATGTCAGTGGTAGCGAACCTATGGCACGGGTGCCAGAGGCGGCACTCGGAGCCCTCTCTGTGGGCACGTGCACCGTCGCCCCAGTCCTAGGCCTTCAGCTGGGTTTTATGAAACCTTTTCTCTTTAGGCCTCCACCGCCGTGTGCAAAAAAGAAAGGTTTAATCAGTCAATTTCAGTTTCTCGGGGGGAAAAAAAGATCTTGCAAAGTTGGAATTGATTGAACTTTTTAGTCCCACCCAGTCTGCTGTTACCACCGCAGCCACGCCCACCCAATGGGCCACGCCCACCTGGCACCCGACGATGCATAAGTGGGTTTTGGGTTGCAGTTTGGGCACTCGGTCTCTAAAAGGTCCGCCATCACCGGCCTACGTAAAGTGAGATTTTTCCAAAAAGTAGGTGCCTTAATTATATAGGGAGGAAAGGGGTTCAAACTATAGGCCTCCTTGGGGACGGCCCTGCCCCACTATGAGCCCCCTGCCCCCCTCCTCAAGATAGGCTTGGCTCCATCCTTCTTGAGTTCCAGACGGGCCCCAAAACCTGTTTTACGTCGATTTGACTTTGGAACGCCTGCATGCAGCCGCCTCAGTGCAGCAGTCTTGATTCTGTTGCATTCTACCAAGCGCCCAAACCTGGCGCGGCTTCCTTCCGCTTCCCTCAGTAATGCGCAGGGGGTCCCCGCCTTTTTAATTGGGACGGTCTAGAAACATTGCACTAGATAACTATCGATAGGATGCATAAATAAATACAAAGAGGCGAGCGAGGGAACTGCAGAGGAGAGGAAGACGGGGCAGAAACGCTGCAGTGCTTTTTTCTCCTCCTGCATCTGATGAAGTCAGCAATGTGCCACAATTAAGAAGCCAGCCACCGAGGCGCATTGGTGCATTTCAGCTCTTCTGTGCTCCAGATTCGGAAAAGGCAGAGAAGCCCCACAGGAGGGAGGGGGCTGAACCGGGGGGGGGGCACTGGGTCCACTCTGTCCCCTGCAGCAGGAGCGACCCCTCCCCGAAGCCTGATTCCTGAACCTCAAGGACAGGTGCCCTGCAGAGGAAGCTGCAACGGGGCGCCCCTGGCCAGATGCCCAAAGAGGAGCTCCTGCTGCTTCTCCTGGGGCTCCTCCTAAGCCAGCACCCCCTCTCCCCCCCCAGGAGAGAGGGGGGGCGGCAAACTGCCCACTGCATGTTCTGTTGCAAGAATGGGGAGGGGGTGAGTGTGTAAGGGGCGCTCTGACGTCCTTGAACTGGCAGTCTTGTCCCCCCCCCCATCCTGAATTGCCCCCCCGGGATGCCTAGTTCCAGTACAACCAGCCTGCACGGGGAGGGTGAAATGCTTCTTGTGAGCCAGACCCAGCCACTCCTGCTTGCCTGCTACCGCTGGCATGGGACACCCCAGGTCCAAGAGCCCATCCTGCCCACCCACCCCCGCACCCCGAGTCCTGCGCGGCTCCTGGGTCGCCTGGAGTCGGCAAGGGGCGCCGGCAGGAAGGCTTCCGGCCCGAGCCGGGCTTTGTTCCTGGGGGAGCCGAATCCGGGCTATACCTCCCGCTTCTGGGCTCCTGGACTACAATGCCCATTCTGCGCAAAAGGACAAGCGGCTGGGAGGCGTGGGGGCTGCCACGCGGCGCTAGGACTGGGAAGGCTGCCTCGGCCCGGCGCCCCTCCCCAGCCGGCCACAAATGAAGCGGTAAAGAAAGAAAGGGATCGGCGCCCCCCAGGGATGCCCCGCACTCGCCCCCCCCTCGGGAAAGCGGCGTTGGGGGGTGCGGGGCTGTCATTGTCCGCTCCGAGAGACAGTCGGGGAGGGTCGTCCGCAGCCCCGCAGGAAAAGCTGCATTGGCGGGGGGCCGGCCCGGCAGAGAGATGGAGGGAGGGAGGGGGGGTGTCTCTGCGTCCGAAGGGGGGAGGGAGGCTCCCCGAAGCGACAGTCCCTCCGCAGTCCCGAAGACAGACTTTTAACCCGGGAGTTTTCCCGCCCTTCGTCTTGTGCACAACGCAAGTCCCCCCCCAGAACTGCATTCGCACGTGCTAATCTGAGTTTTAACCCCGCGCGTGGCCGTTTCCCTGGTTCGTTCTTGCGTGTCCCACGAACGCAGTCGGTTCGATTCGCGTGGGGCCTCCGAGCCGCGTGCAAAACTCGGTAACCAGCCGGTCGTGAGAACGCAACAGGCCACCGCGGCGGAGGGCCCGCGGCTCTGCACGCCATCCTAGCCGAACTAAGGCGGCCTCGGGCCGGGAGGGCGCAGCTTGGTGGCGGTCCAAAGGGCCGCCTGGATCCGAGGAAAGTTTTGCCAGGACGGTATATCCGTGACGCCTTGCGAGGCTCCCTGCCGCGATCGCGCAGAGCCTCGGGGGGGGGGCTTTCCTGGCCGCCCTCTAACAAAGCCGGGGAGAGGCGGGGGGGGCAGGGGGCCTCACCCGCCCCCCATTCCTGGAAGCCGCAACAGCAACATGAGCCACGCAGCGCAACGGGAGATGTGGGGGGGGGCTGCCTGCATGGGGAAGGGGTTACTCACCCCGACACTTCTGGAAGCGTCCGGGGGGGCTCAGGCTGGGGGGCGGGGGAGCTGCCGTTGGAGGCCCTCCGCCCCCCCCCCGGACTATCCCCTCCCGGGCTCCGGGCGCAGAGGGGAACGGCTCCCATCATTCTCTCCCCTTGCTCCTCCAGCAGAAAGTGATCTTCCAACAACAACCCTGTAAGGTAGGCTGGGGCAAAGAGTGTCATGAGCTTCCCTGGCCGGGAGTGGGGGGGGGCGGCTCCAGACGGACCTTATCCAAAGAGTAGCAGTCCCGGCGCGGCTTACGGGTGGAGGGAGAAGCCGCGCGCCGACGCCCACTTGAAACCTTCGTTTATCCGGAAAGGGGCGCCCGAAGCAGGAGGCACCGACCCCCCCCACCACCCCGTTTGGAGACTGGAAAGCCCCCCCCCCCATGGCCCTGCACTCTTCACCGTCCCCGGGGGCTCCAAAGAGAGAGGCGCCCCTTTCGGGAATGGCTCCCACGAGCCACGCAAATCTCGGGGAGAGCAAGCCGAGCCGGCCCTGCGGCGGGAGCCAGGCTAGGGCCAGGGGCCCCGAAAGCAACGGCGGGCAGGCTCGGGGCTTGCTACACTCCGCTTCCTGCGAGGAGAAAGCCCAGGGGCGCGGCGTCGAAGCGGCCCCCACTCGGGACTTCGCTCCGGGCGCGTCGAGGATAAGCGGCTGGCCGAGAGCGAAGGCGAGCCAGCAGCGCCATCTAGTGGCCGCGTGAGGAACCGTCGCCGCCTGCCGCCTGGACTGCTTCGCGGGGCAAGGGGGATTGTGGGGGGGTCGAGGGAGGCTTCCCGGGGCTCCTGGCCAAACCTGCCGGCTGCGGAGCAACGAGAAGCGGGAGGAATCGCGCCAGGGGGTGCCGGAAGGTCACATCCTGTGCCTGATCCTGATCCTGATCCTGAGCTGGTTGCGCCACCTTCCAACGTCATCTGTCTCCCTTGGCAGAGCCTGGACGGCTTGGCTGGCACTTCCCACCCCCCCCGATTTTCTGGGCCTGGTCAGCCTGTCCAGGATGCGTCCCTGAAATGGAAATGGGCGGAGCATCGATCCCAGCGTCCTCACCTTTGGGTCGTCGTCCCCCCCCTCCAGACACCCCCAGGGGACTGTGGAGACCCTCCCTTCCCCATTACTCTTCCAGCAGAGAGCATGGTATGCAAGGGCAGCCTTAGGATCAAGACAGATGCTGAGTGCGGCTGGGGCCCCAGAGCCAGCCTCTAGGTTTCAGTCAGTCAATCAGAATAGAGCTGGGAGGGACCTTGGAGGTCTTCTAGTCCAACCCCTTGCTTAGGCAGGAGACCCTATACCACTTCTGACCAATGGCTGTCCAGTCTCTTCTTTAAAAACTTCCAGTGTTGGAGCATTCATAGTTTCTGGAGGCAAGTTGTTCCACTGGTTAAGTGTTCTCACTGTCAGGAAGTTTCTCCTTAGTTCTAGGTTGCTTCTCTCCTTGATTAGTTTCCATCCGTTGCTTCTTGTCCTGCCTTCAGGTGCCTTGGAGAATAGCTTGACTCCCTCTTCTTTGGGGCACCCCATCATGTTCCCCCTAGTTCTTCTGTTGTCTAGACTGGCCATGCTCAAATCCTGCAACAGTTCTTCATATTTTTGTCTCCAGGCCTTTAATCGTCTTAGTTGCTCTTCTTTGCACTTTTCCCAAAGTCTCAACATCTTTTCTGTACTGTGGTGACCAAAACTGGATGCCGCATTCCGGGTGTGGCCTTATTAAGGCTTTATAAAGCAGTTCTAATACTTCACGTGATTTTGATTCTATGCCTCTGTTTATACAACCCAGGATTGTATTAGCTTTTTTGGCTGCTGCCGCACATGGCTGGCTCATGTTTAGGTGATCTAGGACTCCAAGATCCCTCTCAGAGTTGCTGTTTTTGAGCCCAATCTGTACTTGGACCTTTGGTTTTTCCTGCCTAGCTGTAAAACCTTGCTTTTCTCCACATTAAATTTCATGCTGTTGGATAGGGCCCATGGTTCAAGTCTCTCAAGATCTCGGGGCCGGGCCCAGCGTGATGCAGGTAACAAGTGGGGACCTGTCTCAACCAGGAGGGCAGAACCCTCCTTGCCAATTTTTAATTGCCTGCCCACCTTACATTGTTACACTATCGACATATCCTCATCTTCATCTTCATCGATCTCGGGGGGGAAATGGCGGACGACGTGGAGCATGGAGAGGTCCTCATACTCAAAATAGTTGAGGTTCAGGTAGCGGGCGATGCGGCGTCCAAGGGTGTCCACCAGCTGTTTGTGGGGGAGAGAAAAAAGTCAGGGCTGAGCAGTAGCCGTAGCAACAGCACTTAAGACTTATATACCGCTTCACGGGGCTTCACAGCCCTCTCTAAGCGGTTTACAGAATCAGCCTCTTGCCCCCCAACAATCTGGGTCCTTGTTTTACCGACCTGGGAAGGACGGAAGGCTGAGTCAACCTGGGGCCCCATCAGAGTTGAACTGCTTGCAGTGGGCAGAGTCAGCCTGCAATACTGCATTCTAACCACTGGGAGGGAGGGAGGGAGGAAGCAATAGCACTTAGACTTATATATCACTTCATAGTGCTTTGCAGCCCACTCTAAGCAGTGTACACAGTCAGCCTATTGCCTCCAACAATCTGGGTCCTCATTTTACCAACCTCAGAAGGAGGGAAGGCTGAGTCAACGAGTTGGTGAAACTTGAACTGCTGGCTGTGGGCAGAGTCAGCCCGCAATACGGTACTCTAACCACTGCCCCATCACGGCTTCCTTCCTTTCTTCTCCTTGTTTCCCTTCTCATCTTCCTTCCTTCCTTCCTTCCTCCCTCTCTCCCTCCCTCCCTCCCCAAGCAATAGTACTTATATACCGCTCCACAGTGCTTTACAACGCTCTCTAAGCGGTTTACAGAGTCAGCATATTTTCCCCCAACAATCTGGGTCCTCGTTTTACCGACCTCGGAAGGACAGAAGGCTGAGTCAACCTGGAGCCGGTCAGCATCGAACTGCTGGCAGTGGGCAGGATTAGGCTGCAATACTGCATTCCAACCACTGGGCCCCCAGGGCTCTCTAGCAGACGCCAGGCCAGAGACTGGGAGGGAGGGTCCCACTTGCAGCCCCTTCCCCTCCAGATCCCCTCCCTCCTTGGGCTCAGTGGAGGATCTGGCTCGTGTTTCCTGCAGGCCAGAGGGAGGCACCCTGGTCCCTGCAGTAGGTGGGCCATATGAGTTGAGTTGTCCCTTTCCCTGTGCTGTCTGGGATGCTTGGACTACAGTTTCCATGGTCCTCAGCCAGCATAACCCCACCATTCCTTTGGAGCTATGACTGCCCCCCCCCCCCGTGCCTTCAGCAAGCGTGACAAGAAGCGTCTTCTTCCTTTCGGCCTCGGGGATTTTACAGAGTGGGGTCGCTTCCTTCTTTACTGGGATTCTTGGAAAAGCAGAATCCAAAATGGGATAAAACTGGTTCCCAGTTTCCTCAAGGAGGAACCGGAGACGAGGATGATGAGGATACCGCCAGCTGGAGAGGCGTGTTTGAGCCCAGGCTTTGGGTTACGGCAAGCGATAAGCATAAGACAAAAGTCTAGTAAGAGCACAAGAATCGCTGTGGGCCCCCCCCAGGTCTTTTGGGCCCCCCAGAAACCGTCCCTCTGGCTCCCCATCCAACGACCAGTAGGCCCCCTCTGAACTGGGAAGCATGTCAGCCTGTGTCACTAGCGTGTTTTGGGCTGCAGAGGCGGCAACCGAAACAGGCCAGGAGACCAAAGGCCGAATCCACAGAGACCGAAAGCTCAGCTGACTTCAAATATTGCAAGGACTGTTTCTTGGATAAATTGGTTTATCTTACTCCGAAGCATAGAAACCCCAGAAAAGGCGCCGTGCCTGAGCAGCAGGGGCCTCTTCCAGAAGGGTGGGGGGGGGCTGAGATTTGGGGGTGCCCAGGGAGGACAGCAGAACGGCCAGCAAGACGGCCAGAGCCAGCCAGACGCTCTCGTGTGTCCGTCTGCAGCCTGTTTGTGCCACCCTAGGCTAAAGTATCTCGGGAAAGGTGCGGCCAGGGGCAATGGGGAGGGGGCAAACAGAGCTGCGGGGGAAGGGGCTGTCCTCCTCCCTCCTGAATAGTGCAGGAAGGACCCCACGGAAAGAGGGGGGCTCCCTCAGCTGGGCAGGGAAGGATTCTCTCTCTCTGAGTGGCTGCACAGACAGGCCCTGGAAAACCCAGATGCTAAATTTACGTCCCTCCTCTGCCCTTGGGATTGCCATGGCCAGGCTGGCCCGGGATGATAAGCCAGCTTCTCCCAGGGGGATGGGGGGGATCGGGGGGGGGTCTTTCCAACTGGAGCAAAGGATGGGCGGGGGGGAGCAAACCTCGGGATAGAGGAACAGCGGGATGTGGCAAGGTGGGGGGGAGAGGCTTGGCAATCTGCTTGGCCCCCTCCGAAACATAATCCCTGTCACTCACATCCCACAAGGAGCCTGTTGGCTGGGGAGCATGGGAGTTGTGGTCCAACCTGCTAGGAACACCCGTTCATGTTTCTATCTGCTGTGTTTGGCAATGGATAATTTTAACGTTTTCATGGTTTTTTATGTTGTAAGGCCCCAGAGTCGTTGGATATGAGATGGGGGGGGGCAATAAATGTTATAAAGAGAGAGAGAGACAGACAGACAGACAGATGACAGATAGATATAGATAGATAGAAATAAATAGATGATAGGTACATAGAGAGAGCAATGGATAAATAGATGCTAGATAGACGGACGGACGGACGGACGGAGAGGGAGGGAGGGAGGGAGGGACAGACAGATAGGGATGGATGGATGGATGGATGGATGGATGGATGGAGGGTTGGTTGGATGGATGGTTGGTTGGTTGGATGGATGGCTGGATGGATGGATGGAGGGTTGGATGGATGGATGGATGGATGGAGGGTTGGATGGATGGATGGATGGATGGATGGATGGATGGATGGATGGATGGATGGATGGATGGATGGATGGTTGGTTGGTTGGTTGGTTGGTTGGTTGGTTGGTTGGATGGAGGGAGGGAGGGAGGGAGGGAGGGATGGATGGAGGAAGATTGTCTTGGCACAGTTCCACACTCAAAACGGAGCAGCCTTCAGGACAGGGGTGAGGCCATCTTGCCAGATGCTGGGAGGATCAGGGAGGATCTGGACTTCCAGCCACCTCCCTTGACCCTTTGCTGCCCCATGGAACAGCCTCCCAGCCCGGCTCTCTTCCCAGCTCTCACCTCATAGTTCTTGGTCAAGCGGACCAGGGTGAGGACCTCCAGGCGGTAGCCGTTGATGATGAGGCTGTAGAACAGCTTCCCATAGGCTGGAAGAGGAAGAGGACAAGGCCAGATTATGCCCCAGCGCCCTTCAACGGATGGTTTCATGCTTCTGGGCAAAGGCCTGGTCAGCTGTCCTTTGGTCAAAAGCACCAAGACCCTCCAGAGGCTTTGAATGTCCTTACTGAGGCTGACCAGGAGCAGTGGCAGCTAAATGATGCTTGGAGTAACTTTCAACCATGGTTGAAACCAAAGAGATTGTGCTGGATCAATGTAACCCTGACCAGAGCATATAGATCTGTATGTTAGAATGTTTGGCATTTATAGGGTTAAGCGCTGTCTCCTTAAGAGATAGCTTATGGGTAATGTAGTTTAGCTATTCAGTGAATCCCATATTAACAAGTCAGTAGGAGGAGCTACTAAGTTCATCACAGGATATCCTGGTTACGTGCCAGCTCGTGCCTATTGTCTTTGTGAGGAACCAACCGTGCCATGGACACCAAGGCTACATTGATTATGGGGCAATTACTGATTTTACCTATAAAGATGAACAAATATGCAACATCCAGATGAAACTACTGAAACGTGAGTTCTGCCAGTATTCCTGAATAAATATTTGTTTTATAATCATCTTTGTTGAGTTATCTGGCTGGCCTTGAATTTACAAAGCATCTTGATTCAGGTTCCAGAACAGAGATCAAAAGCAGACCCTGGTTTCTACACGCTTCTGGGTTGGACTGAGTCGCACCATCCCAAAGCCATGGGGGGTGGGGGGGTGTTGCGATTTATGACTCAATGTAGCTTGGAACCCTGGTTGTTACGCTTTGGTCAACAAACTGCTTCAATTCATTCATTCGTGCTAGGGACTTACACTAACCTGGTTTCTGAATTAACTCATTTTCCAGGTTTAGACAGTATACTGCGTGATAGGCTAATATAGGCTAATATGTTGCATTATAGCCTAACTGGAATTCCTGGATTCCCACCATGTGCTAAACCAGGGGTCTCCAAGCTTGGCAACTTCAAGACGTGTGGACTTCAACTCCCAGAATTCCCCAGCCAGCGTGCGCTGGCTGGGGAATTCTGGGAGTTGAAGTCCACACATCTTAAAGTTGCCGAGCTTGGAGACCCCTGTGCTAAACCACCCATAAGTAAAGAAACCAACAAGTGACAAAGCTTAGCACGTTGCACTGGGTCTTTCACTGCCCGGTTAAGCCCCTTGTGCAAAAGACGGCCACGGGCAAACTCATGTGTGGGTCCCGAGTATTGCAGGCCCCTCACCTCCTGGCTTTGGTGCCTTAGATCCCCCCAAACTCTCTCTCTTTCTAGTGTTGAACTTTTGGGAAGGGGGGACTTGCATGCATTGGCCAGAGATTTGCTAAGCAACGTGGAGGCCAGTGGTCACTTCCTGGCGGGAGCCACGCCACTCTTCACCCAAAAGCAAAGGATGAGGACGGAGCATGTGGGTTGGGGGGGGGAAGGGTGACCTCCTGGGGGAGTTTCAGAAAAAAAGTGGGGGTGCAAATGAGGGCCAGGCAAGGGGTGGGGAGAAATGGCCAGAGGGGGGGGGTCTTTGTGGAGGACCAAGGGGGAGCTTTAGGTCTCCTCTGGGGTCTGAGCCTGGGGGGCAAGCAAGGTACAGCTAGTCAGTTCATTTAGTGACCGTTCACATTTACAGCAGCACTGAAAAAAGCGGATGATGACCATGGCTTCACACGTACGACCGTTGGTCACATGATCAGACTTTGGACACTCGGCCACTGGCTCATATTTACGACGGGCCCAAGAGGTCACCTGATCCCCTTTTTTACGACCTTCCGGCCAACAAAGTCAACGGGGAAGCCGGATTCGCTTAACAACGGTGTAACTAAGTCAACAACTGCAGTGATTCTCTGAAGACCTGTGGTCGTAAAACGGAGCGAAAATTTCACTTAACAAACATTTCGCTTTGCGGCAGAAATGTGGGGCTCCCTTTTTGTGGTCGTAAGTCGAGGTCTGTCTGCACTCTGACTAGGGCAGGGAAAGGAGGAGCTGGGCCCCGGGTCCCTCCTTATCCCCGGGTGGGGGAGGGGTACCGTCTCGCTGGCTGACGGTCCGGACGTAGATCTGGTGCAGGGGCCCCTCATGCCACAGGATGCCCCGGATGTAGAACTGGTAGACGTCCCGGGTGTGGTTGATGATCAGGCGCCGTTTGCAGAAATTGCTGATCACCAGCCAGAGGCCGGACACCATGCTGAAGATGAAGAACGCCGAGAGGTCCTGGTAGGCCTGGAAGGGAAGTGCCCTGGTCAGTCCCTTGGCCCTCTGGGTCCCTAGGAGCCCCGGAGCAGGAGCTGGAGCAGGAGGATTCCCTTACTGGGTGGGTTTCTTCTGAGGGGTCCCTGGTGCTCTCTGACCTGGGTGGTTTTCTTCCAGACGTTTCATGACCCAACTAGAGAACATCATCAGTGCTAGAAGGGAGGTGGGTTTGTGGGGAGGAGGAGGAGGAGGGGGGGAGGAAGAGGAGGAGGAGGAGGAGGAGGGGGAGAGGAGGGGGAGGAGAAGGAGGAAAAGGAGGAGGAGGATGGGGAGAAGAGAGGGAGGTGGAGGAAGAGGAGGAGGAGGACTGTGGGGTCCCTGGTGTTCTTTGAGCTGGGTGGTTTTCTTGCAGACGTTTCATGACCCAAACTAGAGAACATCATCAGTGCTAGAAGGGAGGT